ATCTTTAGTGTCTGCCAACGGTCAAAAGATTGAATGCTCAGGACAAGCAGTACTGAATCTAACACTACGGGAACCTCTGCCGAGAATTTACCTGGACATTTATAATAGCTGAAACTGCTCAGCCACTCCTAGGATCGATTTAAACCATTTCGGGCTAATGGTGGACTGCACGAACAATAAATAATTGATAAAATGACTAGACAATCCAATGCACATCCATCGTCTATTATCATGAATATAGATTTAGTACCGAATAAAGATGCTAACAAAATGGGCCTGGAGAAATACCCAAACTTAATTTCTCCTCATCGCGACACGAATGCAACAAAACCAAAGATATTCCACAGAATAGAAACTGGTAGCAACCCTCCCTACTTTCTCCAGAGCCCAATTTCAGCTCAGAGATGGAAATTGCAAAGAGAATTCAAGAAACTCCAAAGGCAGGAATTCTTCAAACTTGAATGGAGTTCAGCCTTACACATGGTACCGAAGTGATCTGTTGGGATTACAGACATTTAAATACCATAACAAAAAGCCCATCGATATCAAGTCCCAAATATAAATTCTTTGTCTTGAAGCTTTAATAAGAAGTTCTTTTCAAAGATAGACCTGTCGTCTGCTTATCATCAGATACCTTACATCCGGAGGATGTTTGCAAGACAGCCATCTCTACCCCTTTTGGGTTATTTGAATATAACTATATGCCTTTGGGACTAAACCATCAATACCTTTCAGAGAATGATGGAAAATATTTCTGATTTGGGATATTCGGACGATATCCTTATATTTCAGAAGATTCAAGCATATCGACCTAGAATTTAAAATTTTTTCCAAATGCATATTTGGTGCTAGTGAATTAGACTTTTAGGATTTCACATTTCTGTTGGTCTCAAAAGTGCTAAAAAGTTGAATGAATTAAGTGAATTTCCTCAACCAAACGATTCTAAATCACTACGATTCTCGAATGGCAAATTTTTACAGAAATCTTGTGCCAAATTTCAAAAAGCGATATCAATTAATCCCGTTTAAACCAAAATTCAAGTCATTAACCCTAACAAAGGAAGAAAGTGAATCTTTCGAAAATATGAAAAGTCTTTATCAAATGTAACTGTTTTGGCTTTCCCCAGCTTAACAACTATCAACTTGTAACAGACAGTTCGAATTATGCGGTGGGTGCAGCACTTCATCAAATGATTGATAATCAACCCCATCCCCATAGGTTTCTTTTCAAAGAAACTTTCCCAAACCCAACAAAAAATATTCTACTTTTGACAGAGTTAGCCGCTCATTGGTTTCCATTTTAAACATTTAATAGAAGGCAGAAATGTAATGTTACTGACGGATCACAAACCACTTTGCAGTTTTTTAAAAGCCAGTCTTCCTTAAAATCAGATAGACAACAGCGTCACCTCTGTTTTATCAGCGAATATGTGAATGACATTTCACATATAAGAGGTTCACAAAATATAGTAGCTGATTGTTTATCACGACCTGTGCGATCACTATTGATGTATGTGACTTACAAGAAATAATGAAGCATCAAGCTACTGACAATGAAATTCAGGCATTCAAAGATATGATAAATCAAAATTTGACACGACATTACCTTTCCACGACTCAGACTTTCAGAAAATATTTTTCTACATAATCTATCACATCCAGGAATAACATCTTCAAGAAAAATAATAAAATCAAGATACTATTGGCCGAAGATGGACAAGTCAATAAAACCCAGCACAGAATGCCAGCATGCCAACTTGAAAATAATTTCCTTTTTCCATTTGAATTACCTTCCAGTCGTTTTGAAACGGTGCATGTGGATATTGTCGGTCCCTTACCGCCAGTAAAAGAACCAAACTGACCTTATTTTCACCATATCGTTAGATTAACATGCGTTGATAGAAATACGAGGATGGATAGAAGCATGCCCAATAACAGAAATTACGGCAAAAGTCAATATCAACGGCTTTTGTCAATCTGTGGATCCGATTCGGGTTCCTCTTCATGTTTACGGACAGAGGAAGCCAATTTGAATCGAATTTTCTCAGAACTATCAAAATAATAGGCATCACAGATTACGAACAACGAATGTTACCATTTTTGGATTAACACGTTTTCTCACAGAACTTTCTATTATAGCCAGGAAAGAATTATGGTTAACAGCTCTTCCTATCGTCCTTTTGGGAATGAGGATAACACCCAACTAATCAAACTATTCTTTTTATTGCAGTAACAGGAGTCATTTCTTCCCCCGATTATTTTGACTTATAAAGAACGAGCAAGTGAAATGACAAACTCGCACGTTAAAATTTTCTCGGGAGATGCAAAAATTTGTATGGACAAATTATCCAGGGACGTTGGCATACAATACCTAATTTTACATTCCAAAAAGATTTACAAACATGTAAAAGTATTTTAAGAACAGACAGAGTAAAGAAAGCCATTGGAAGCTCCATACACAGGTCCATTCCAAGTATTAAGTCGTCATGAAAAATATTTTACTATTAAAAGATCGGATGGCGTACATAGTAATGTTTTCAATAGATTTAAAACCTGCATATATTTCTGAAAATATAAAATCAAAGATTCCATTGGATCAAGACCGGATTTGATAACTCCTATCTTGTTCGAAGAAAACTAATGATAACAAACCAGAAACTGAGAAAAGTCCGTAGAACGGTTAAATGGAAGAAAGAAAACACATATTTTATTACTGAAAAAAAAAACAAAAATCTTTGTTTACTGGGGCGAAAGTTTGTGGTGGCACGGAGCAAGCGAAGGACCGGATGTTAACCCTCAGAGGTTTAGACAGCAAATGACCAATACTGGTCTTTGCGCACCCGGCTCACGCAGAATTTCCGGTGGAAAATAAAAAGAAATAAAAAGAATAATAAGCAATTTCCACCAATAAAACGACTCCGCGCCATACCCAACAGTTTGCTTCAGCAGACTGACTCTGAGCCGATAATTTACAAATAAATAGAGCGATAAATTCACTCCTGTAGAGAAAGCTTTGAAGTACCGTCAGAGAATGTCGCTACGCTTTTTCACCCCTCAGCCCCTTCACCACCGAGACGCCTCCAAGCCTTCCTTCTTTCACCGGAGATACCGACGCTTAAACTTAAGTATTAACAAAGTGACCTCACCTTTTTCATCTCTTATCTGTGAACCAGCACGTGTGAATCAAGAAAATTGTTCAATGTTGTATTTTAACAAAGTTTTGACTCTTATATTTTATTTAATAATCAAATTTTCTTCTTATAGGCCAAAATGAACATTTTATAACGGACAACGAACATTTTGTCAACGTGTGAATCATTCCAAAGAAAAATTGTACTATTCATTGATTTGTTTTGTATTTTAATACAAATTGTTCTTAAAGTTTATTTCCTTCTGAAACCCTTTCTAGCGTTTTTATGTTTATTTTGTTTATTTTATGTTTGTTCCTCAAATTGATTGCTTGTTGAACCTTTAGGCCAAACTTTCGGCTGTCTGAAGGATTGCTACTACTTACCTACCTTCTGGCAAACCGAATATTTATGCCCTTTAACAAGTGAACGTGTCTTTGGTATGGTTATTTTTCACACGTCTCACGTGTATCTTTTTGGCTTTTGGAGTTCTTCGACCCCTTCGAACATTACACCATAATCCCTTTTTACGTTTCTGAACGTTGGCATTCTTCGGTCACCTTTTGTAATGTTATTTTGTCTTGCTTTAATATTCTCGACCCAGAGTGAATCATCTTTGTTCCCGCGTTCAACCAGAGAGTTCACTGTTCGTATGTCACAAAATCCTCGTTTTCTGCTTTAAAGATGTTTAGGCATCTGTATCGCGTGTGGAACAGACTATTCCTTTTCGTCAAATATTTTTTGACAGAATACTTATAGTTTCTTCAAACGAAACTTCTTCTGGCTTTCTGGGCAATATCAAGTTTGAGTACTTCCTATTCTCGTTTGTCCCTAGTTTCTGGACTAATAATGTTACTCGTTCCTCATCCGACCAATGTTGACATCTCTTGGTAAATATAGTTTCGAAACGTTTAAAGTATGCTGAAATGTAATGCCCGAATCAGGATCATAAATAAATTCGGATAATGAATTTGCTATTCCTTCGGCAAAAAAAACAGTATTTTTTCTTTCTCCAGTCGCCTGTTTCAAAATTTTTCGAGACTTTTTGCTGTTGCAATATTTGTTGTAACTCTTGGTGCTGTTTTTTGTTGCTGTTGTTGTAACTCTTGATGCTGTTGTTGTTGCTGTTGCAAGCTTGTGTACAGCATTTTAGTCATTCGACTAATTGCTCCATCCTGACTTTATTTAGAATTCGGCAAAAAAAATTTTTTTTTTTTTTTTAGACGGTTAACAGACAATTTAGACAATTTTACAACCCGTAATTTTACTTGAATAATCAATTATTAGACCGGCTCGCATTTGAGTCACGGTTCAATATATATTTTCAAATCACAATTTAACAGTAAAAATTTTCTTACTTTTCAAAAAGTTTCTTTTTGACTTGTGACTCCGTTTTCCGAAATCTAATCGGCGTCAACAGATATCTTTGACTTGCGAATCTGCTTCCGAAATCCGTTCAGCGTAATTTTATATATATATATATATATTTTTTTTTTTTTTCAGGTAAGTACGTTGCACAATCCTCATCACCAGTTGTTATATCTCGTGCCAGATATAATAAACAAAGTAAACCTCAGTGTTGGTTTTTCAATAATAGTTTTATAATCGGATGTAGGTGGTGTGTACAGAGACAGAGAGAGTACTAACCTCAATAGGTGTTAACAAACGAAGACCTTTTCACTGTCCGCTGTGGTCGTACTTAATCGGCAACCAGTCCATCCATTATCGTGAATGGGGAAGTTGGGTTATATCATCACAACACTAAACTTGTTAAATCTTAAAATCCATTAATATTTGATGTTTTTTATTTTCTTGGACAGTTTCTATTTTCTCTACATGTCATTTGTTTATTTGTTTTATTCTTATTTATAGATTCAGTATCAATTTATCCATGATATTTTAGCTGAAGAGATTTTGACTGGCTTCTCAGAGATTTTTGTTACTTCCATTCCTGAGGAGTTTAAGAAACTGCAAACAAACAAAGCAAATGGGGAAAAAGCAATGCTTAAAAAGCAATATGAGGTAAATTATGACATTTCTATAAAAGAGGATTTTCCAAACTAAACTGAAAGAAAACAATATTTCAAACGCTAATTACCTTTACCTAAATGTCATTAAAGTATCACTTGACATTTATAATTAAGAATGAAGCCATTGCACTAATGCTAAACACATTTGATGAGTTATTTTTCTAAGCCAAGAGATAATATCAAATATTGTTGTTTTTCTGAAACCAATTCTTATTCAATAGTTCTTTGGTTTCTACTTGATTTGCTCCTCAAAAGAACACACACGTTTCTCCAAGATACTTGAATTTCTTTCTTAAATTTATACTCATTTCTCACCTGTGTTGAATGAAGGCAAAGCCTGAAGAATAATCAGGATAAAATTCAAATCTTTTGATTGTTTTTGGGTTTTTTTAGAGTAGCTGAGGCTCCTTAACAGATGGGGACGCACATGCAGACATATAGAGCAATAGATATTTGAAATCATGACACTTTCTTTTTAAAATCTTTCATGTATACTTTATGCCTAGAAAACTAGGTAACAGCAGAAGTAGAACAAGGTGAATATGGTTTGTAACTTGGGTTGTTTCTCTAACAAATACTAATTCATTCTACCAATGGAAAGAGAAAAGGAAAACTTTGAAGGAAAATCCTTCTCGCAATATGAGTAGCTTTATTTTATAACTGAAATATTCTTAGAAAATGGAGAAATGACTAATTAGAAATTTGAAAATCTTGGAAAAGTAAAATGTCTATAAAAAACTTTAATTAATCCAGTTAAGATTAACTGAAGTTAGGTACAACATTTCTTTATTGATATAAAATTTTAAAATAACTGTTATTGAGTAAAATCTCATCAAATTCATGTCAACTTTAACAAAAAAAGTGAATTAAAAAAAATTAACTGAAAATCAAGAGAAAATTGCTGACATAATAAAGATGATGAAACTAAATTGCAAATAACTGCTCCAATGCCATAATCTCTCACATCTCTTTTAGTGTACATAGGTACTTCATCACAAATGAAAAAGATTTATTATTTTCAGTAACACATTGTTTATTTTTCTTTCTTTCCTTCTTATTTTTTACATCATTTATCATTTTTAAAATGTAGTCATCTTTCTTGGGTTGTATTTTAATTGCATCCAAAGTCACAAGTAGTATCTTTATTTTGTTACACAAAACACTTTTTATTTCATTTTCAGAAATTACAGAAGCAATTACTGTCTCCTCAAAAGGTTATTTAAATTTTTGGAATTAATTTGCACAAACCATCTGCATGTCCCAATTTCTTTGATAGTAAATACTTCCTCTTAAAAATCATAGTTTAGTAAAACTGTTTCCCAACGTTGTAACCTGTTGGCGGTATGCATTGGAATACATTTTTTTAAACTAAAATACTCAATGGATGGTGATCTGTTTTCAGAATAAATTTCCTACTGAGTATCACTTAGTGAAATGTTTTCATTACAAAAATAATAGCTAGCTCTTCTTTTTTCAATTTGACTATAATTTTATTCATCCATTATTAGCATTCTTGAATTTATGACAAATAACTGCTCTAATGCCATAATCACTCACATCTGATGCTCCTATTATTTCTAAATCACAATTGAAATGTATTAATGATAATTCAGATATTAACATGTTCTATATATCTTCAAAAGATTTTTTGACATTTATTGAACCAATTACGCACCATATCTTTTTCAATAATGTATTTAAAAGCGTTGTCAATTTATGAATTTTTGATACATAAAGTTTGTAGGCTTAGGTTTAAAAACAGGGACTATGTTTTCCTTTAAGTGAAAAATTGCCTTCACCACAGTACATTTTTCAAGACCTTCAGAGAATACTGTTTTAACTCCTTTAAAAAACTTTCACTTACCGTAAGTGTTTTGTCGGAAGAGCAATTCACTTTCATTTTATTTTACAGAATTAATTTACAGGAAGACTTCACAAACTGAATAGTTTCATCTAGTCTGTGCCCAATAAGTTCAACGTATTATTTTTTAATATAAATGGCTTAGTTTTTAAAGTTTGACCTTCACATGAGACATTACATACAAGGAGGTCAAAGAATCAACAAAAATAAAACTGGATATAGGAGAAGCTTAACACTCATAAGGGACATAAAACCCTTTCATTTCTGGGAAGTGTAGTGATTTTAAATGTCTTACCTCATTTACATATGAGTGCATAGGTTTTTTTTGTATCATCCTACAACTGAAACAAGATAGAGTAAAAGCTTAATACTCATGAAGGACATAAAACAGGATATAGAATGGAAGAAAGGCGTTAAATAAAAAACATAGTTTGGAACAAGACGAGAAAGGTTAATGAAAAGAACAATGGACAGCCTGATGGAAGAAAAAGGAATTTTATTTCCAGAGTCTTTGTTTTTAGGGCAGAGATGCTTTGAAGGAAACTGATTCTGTTACAAAATATTACCACAAAAGCAGTGATCAACCCAATAAAAAAAAGAAAAGTGTTATGCATAGGCTTCAATGTATTGTCCTCCCACTGAAATGGGATATAGAAGAAGCTTAATATTCATGAAGGGCATAAAATCCTTTAATTTTTGCATAATTTAGATGACAATTTCTCCATTACATGATGCATAAATTAGTATTATAAATCAGCAAATTGGTCAGTGTAGGGCACTAGTATCAGAAAACTGAGAGATAATGTTAAACGTCCATAATATATTTTATCTATATGCTTAAATAATCAAATTTAATATTAAATATATTCCAAGATTTTTGTCAAAATATTTTCTTCATATAAACTCATAACATCAATCATGAAATTATTTTCCTTGGCTTTCTTTGATCTCACCCTGTCTTTAAGGTAAATTATATATTCCATCATAAATAAATGATTCTAAATAATTTAAAGTCTTGAAACTTTAGATTGATGATTAGATAAGAAATGTTTTCATGTAATGAAAAAAGTGCTACTTTAAAGAAGATACTGTATGTTGATCATCTTATGATAAAGCAAATGTCACATTAAGACAAGTGTCTAAAGATAAGAATATATAGGCTTTAGTTTCACTGGGGTACTGTTGTTTATGATCTGTTCTGCTTGATAGCAATTATAGCAATGTTAGTCTAAGAATTAAATATAAGTATTATGTATTTTACATTAAATAATGAGCATTGTTATAACACATTATTTATTACTATGATTGTAAAGATATTACCAGTTTAACAATATTTTATGCTTCTCATGACATTCAAACTTTGTGTGTTGCTTAATTTTCTCTTTTCTATAAACTCAATTTTTGTTCATTTATCTTTCAGGAATTCATATTTCCATTGAATCAATCTCATCCAATAGAATCATATCAAGAGTCAATGTATACAAATGTTGAGGAAAATAATGGTAAGGCATTTGTAGCAATCAGCATTTTATTTTATATATTATCTAAAAGAAAAGATTGTATGATGACATGGTGAAAAGTTCTCAGCCGGACCAAAAAGCCCTTCCCCAAAATTCTGATGTTTGGTCATTTGGTCAGATTTTGAGAAATGGGTCAGGCCAAGAACACTTGTACTTCAATGTTTGTTTCTTGAGTTGTGTAAAAACTCCAACAAAGTCACTTGCAAATTTGTTTAAAAACCATCTTCACAAATGTAATTAGTCACTTCAAGTGCACTGTAGTTATCTATAGATTTTATGACCATCAGTCATTTGGTAACAACTTGCTTGTCTTTAGTAAGTTGAAATATAAGTATTTGTATATGCAAAATTTTACTGAAGGAAATAATATGTACTCCTAAACTAAGGGGTCAATTGTTGATTTGAAATCTGTTCTATCCCACACTGTTGGGATAAACAAAAACAAATGAAAATTAAAGACAAGTGTATTGACAAGACAAGGGATGTAACTCAATTGTATTTTTGATTTATCGTCCTTTTCAGGGAAAGGAATTTAGTTTCCCCTGACAAAACCTCTCCTTTTTAGTATAATTCTTATATAACTTTTGACAGGGGATTTAATTGCAGTGGGTATGGCTTACTTTGTAGTCGATGTGATTTTTTTTGGTGCACTTTTTCCTGAAGTCTTATGTTTGCTCTTTGGCATTTCTTAAGAGCTTTGTTGAGGCAGTTAAACAGTGTCCAATAGAATGTCCAGCAGTAAAATGGAGTTTGATTTGGTCTCTGAAAGTTTAGATGGTCGTAATTGGTTTTCATATTAAACTCAGACTGAAGACTGAATATCCACATCATATGTAACATTTCCAGAGTGATGTATAATGTGTCCTTGGATTCATTTTCTTTTGCCGTTTGCTGTAATTTTTTTGCAAGTACAGTTTGTCTTGGTACATATTTGCACTTTACTGCTCTATGATGACAGTTAAATTCTTCTTCCATCACCGTGTTCCTTGGATGGATAACATATATATAGAAACAAATTCTATGGTTCATCAGTTCTGTTAGTGGTTAATTACCATTAGGTGCAGCTCTGTAACTTGCAAGGATTACTTCTAATATTTCTTGTGCGGTTCCCTCACTTTCAAGTTTGAGGGGTGCTCTCTTAAGGCTATTTACAAAATGCTCCATTTGTCCATTTGATTGTGGATGAAAAGTAGGTGTCCTGATGTGTTGAATACCATTCTGTGCACAGAAAGTTGAAAATTCAGCTGATGTGAAGGTAATGCTATTATTAGAAACTAGTATCTGTGGGACTCCATATCGACTGAAAGTTTACTTTAACCTAACAATTGTTTCACCAAGCTGATACAAGTCATTTGAAAAATTACTGGCCATTATAATGCACTTATGTTTTTTAAACAAACAGGAACATTCAAAATGTCAGTCAACACAATGCCATCATTTTCAGGAAGGATTCTTTTTAATTACGAGGTTGTTTTCTCATGTGGATTTTTCTGGTTATTGGTAAATCCATAATTTTGAACCAGCATAGTGTCTCTTTTGGTACTTAATAATTTCAGTGGTAAGGGCTTTTTAACATAATGTTTTTATCCTGTCCCAATATTGAAAGAAGTCATGCGTGAGCATCATCATATAGAAGATTTTAATCTTGCAATAAAATCAAACACTTAAATTGTTTCTCTGTAAGGGATTTTAATTTAAATTTTCTACATTCCTAATTGACATAATCAGCAAAACCTCATAATTGTTAGCATCATCTTTTGTTAGCTTTAAACAATTGAATCAAATGTTAAATAAAGTTTGTTTTTTTCTCCAAATAGTTCATTGAGTTGTTCCATTGCTTCAGTGAAGCTGAAAATTGCTGCCTGTTTTCGTAAAATATAATTTGTTTTACGGTCATGTTTCTTAGCACCCATTTTACAATTTTCCATTTTTTCCTTTTATGAGAAAAGTCATTGTGAAAGGTATCAGCAAATGTTTAAACCACAAAGTGAATGATTTTCCAGTCCACTGCTTCATAGAGGAATAATTTTATGTCATTGACCAAGATATCTGCTGAAATGGTATTTTGGAACTATGCAGTCATTGCTGTCAATAACTGTTGTTGTGACTTCTGAAACTCTCCTTGCTTTTAGTGTAAAATCTCCTTAAGCATCTCAGGTGAAATTGCCATGTTGATTTTGAAGTTCAAGTTCCATCACCAAAACTTTATTATATCCCAGGTTGTTGTATTTTAATACATAAATCAACAACTTTTGTTCATTCACTGACTGAAAACAACAAGTATTGTATGGATGGAATAAAATGAATTCCATATGTATGTCAGCTGGTCACTGTGTTCAGTTCGGATGTGGCACCTTCAGCTTGACAGACTGGAAAAGGGTTTTTGTCAATAAAAGACAATCTTTAATAATTCCTTTATTCTTCTTTTATTTCTGTTTTCTTTTATTATTTACTAAATTTTAATTTTCTTTCAGTTTTTGAAGCCAGTTGCAAAACTTTCCATGAATCTATATTTGTTGATGTAAGTAAATCAGTACTTGGGTTGTCAATGTTAGATTAAAAATAGATGTACATTGTAAATAATGATTCTAGTAATGAGGTATTTAATTGTTGGTTAACCTAAAGTTCCCAAATTTAATAAGCTGATCAGATAAATCTTTGATTGCTTACATGAAAACTTAAATGAAAAGAATACCGAGTTTAAATTAATCTTATCAAGTAAAATTGAAAGTTGTAAATATTCTCAAATCTGGTAAAAGAACTTCTACATACAAGAATTTATCCAAGGTTTATGTACAAACAAAATATTTGTCATGGGAATGTTAAATGCCATAATTGATATAAAAAAACTAAAGTTCAAATCTTTAAAGCCATTAATGATGTTAATGCAATTTAGCACAACCAGATTAAAACTGAATTACAGAATGTAGATGTTTGTTTTGTTTTGAAATATTTATCTATTTATCAAGAAAGGATTTTTTTTTTGTTTTGTCTTTTAGGGTTTCTTCATGAAGAATGAATTCATGTTAACCCTTCAACCATCAAAAAAAAACAATGCAGACATGTTTTGAAGCTTATTTATGAGAAGAGGTACTCAATCATCATCATGCTTGATAATACACCTAAAAGTGAGTTGCTCAGAAATAAAGAGTTTAGCTTTTTTATTATTTGTGCTATAATTTTATAAAATTTATTTTTTGAAAGATTTTCTGATTAGAATTAAAATCTCTTTAAGTTTAGACTGAATAGGAAATAAATAAAATTATGGCGAAAGGGAAATAATGAGAAAATATTTAGGATTATTCAAATTACCTTTCTCCACCTCTCTCTCTCTCTCACACACTCTCACACACATGTACATGTATGTATGTAGGTATGTATGGCCTCTCAGGCCAAGGAATTAAATAAAAAGTACTGGACAGGAACACTAGAATAACAGACATCTAAAAATAAGTGCATAAGCTGGACCATGGGGACTTCCTCAGTTGACTTAGCATGGAATTAGAGTACAATGGGGAGTAGTTAATAAAGACACAAAGATAAATGACAGGAAGGCTTCAAAAGTAGCAGCAACTACAGTAAAAGTGAAGCCTTGGTGAGTGCAGCCATGCATGGCAAGTAACAGCAGTCAGTCATTAGTGTTGTGTTCGCCGATCGACACATAGACAACGTGGAATAAATAAGGTTTACAGTCAACAAAGAAGTAAAATGATTCGGTCTTACCGTGCAGGTATTAGTTCTTCGTAAACTGGAGTTGAGATGAGTCGGCGATGATTTCTCGCTGCACTTAGAAAAGAGAGATGAAGATTGGAGTGCGAGAACATACATTTATTTCCTTAAGGCCTTTTACAGGAAGTCGCCCTACGGCGGAAGTTGTAGTTCACTTTTTGTCCGCAGTTAATATACATGTGTATGTGTATATACACACACATGTATGTATACATATAACAATTAGTAGGCAGGTTAAATTCAAGGCTCCAAGTTCTCCACTAGAATTTTCCCATGTGACAATAGCCTAGTGAATTAAATCATTGAATTTGATGACATAGCAATTACATGCTCCATTTTCCATTTTGGGCTGTGTGTACTTGGACTCAGCAAGTAATAATTGAGCAGTACTGAATAAGAACTAGACAAGATATTCCTGAACATAGAGTGTAGATTAAGAAAAATCTCTGTAGATTAAATGAAAGGTTTAGTTCAATATTCTCTGATGATTACCAGGATTAACAAACACCTGATGAAAACTGAGAATATAATGGCCAAAATGTTGTGATAACAACAACAAAGATGAGGGACAATAGTCTGCATGTAAATGATAACACCTCATTGTAGAAATTCAAATAGAAATTAAATCAACTTTACTATAAAGACAAGTTGAAGGCCCTAGACTTGATGCAATCTGTGTTTAAATCTGGGATGATATTAAACTTGAAGTGGGTCCATTGGCTCTTAACTTTTCAAGCCTCATTTTCAGAATCTCAATACATTCAGCTCTGTAGCTCTCCATGAATTGTGTTTACATGAATACACCAAAATGCATTACACTTCTGAAAGACAACAGATACAACTCTTGAAAGTACATTGTTGAATACTTACAGCTTCTTTGCTTTTCCTTTCATCTTCAGTTGATATAAATCTTAAAGGTTTTAATTTTGCTTTTAGATTGCTTCATTATATTGGGCCACAAAAGATAAACTGTACTGAAGTGTATGGGTCCCATAAAAGTGGAACTGACAAATACAGCTGAAAGCAAAACATTTTTTCAAAGATATTTTCAGGTTTCTTCAACTAAACAGGTGATTATTTGAATTTTTTTTTATTCTTTAAAGTAAGCTTTCCAGAATTAATTTGTTTAACAAATTTAATGAAAATGTCAGAATAAATAATGAAATTAATGCTTCAAAAACTTATTTTAATTAAATACAAGGAAAACTGAAACTCATCGAATGATTTACAAGTAATAATTCTCTATGGAAGGGGTTGTGCTTCCTTTCTCTTTACCATCAACTTGAATTTCTTCAGCATTTCATATCATTCAAATTACAACACCATATTCTTTTTCAGTCCACTGTATATGAGCTCAGATTGTTTTATGTCATGGGACTATTCTGTTGTTACAAGCTGAAATAAGGATAATTGCAAAGAATAGAATCAAATCCAAATGCTTCATGGAGATCAAGTAAAGAGATGATAGATGAAGTTATATGTATATTATAGTTAAAGCTGAGTTCTAAGTGAAAAGTCTAGTAAAGATACACCTGATGAATCGAGTCTAGAATTTTATCAACAGAAGATGATAGCATTTCTGAAATGATTGAAGAGAGGGAGGCTTTACCCTTTTTTTACACACACTATTACCGAGCTGCTAGTAGTCACAAGAACCAAACTTGTGAGAGGCTCACTCTAAACACCAACAGTTTCATTGAGGACATGTTTGCATTTATTACAAGCAGACACAAAGAGGGCCTCTGTTGTGATCAGAGTTATCACCTTGATATAGCTGGAAAAGTGATTCCTGTAGACTATAGCAGTTGAACAGGTAGGTGTGAACCAAGGTGAAGATAGCAATCTTATCTTGTATTTATGAGATGGCAAACCCTTGATGCTGGCTTTTCACCCAAGTGGAATGAATCCCAATTAGCATGTAGGTAACAGAAAGAAGTCTTGTGAATGGGGGTTTGTGCCTAAATACTATTAAATCTTAACCTTATTGAACCCTAACCCTTACCATATTAGAGTATAAATATAAAGGGTGCTGGAAAAGTTATTAACCCAACTAACTTAAAAATATCTAACTAATTATGTAACTAAACATCATTTTATAACGGTTTTGAACAAACTAAGAACTTTCAACCTCCCTTCTATAATCTGAGACAAAGTTACTCTATATAGGAGTACTTGGTCTTAAGGAAGCAATTTAGAATCAACTTTTAATCTTGCTGAGTGCTCTAAAAACATGTCATTGTGTTAAAGTTTGCCTTAAACAACAAAATCTATTTGTTTCAAAAATCTATCATTTTCAAATATTTCTTCTTTCTTTTTCACCCAGAATGCACTTGAACCAGTTTATGTTGTTCAATTCCAGTCCAAAATTTGGCAAAGAAAGCAGCTTCCTTTCCATCTGATCTCATTGAACTCATTCAAACTGTTACTAATTCTTGTGGACAAGGAAAAACAACTTCTTATTCAATGCAAGTAAGAATAAGAATTTATTCTTTTATAATGTGTGTACTGGTGTTTGTCACAGCTCTATCCTTAATTATTTGGGACTTCTCACCCTCGTTATTTCCATTAAAAAAATAAAACTATAGCCATGTAATTAATTACTATAATTATGCTTATCACTCACCTGCTGATAAGAGTCTAAATAGACAATCTGTAGCTAAAGAGAAGGTTTTTATTTTTGCATTCAAGATGCAAACTGATTTTTCCTTTTGTCATATTATCTTTCTTAAAACAACTTTTTTTTAGTTAAATTGCATCCAGTAATTGCTGTTTTGATATTTTCTTGTTGATGAACATGCAAATAAAATCGACTCACATACTTGAAATTAGGCTTTATCTTTTTGCATACAAACTTAGGAGAACTGACAAATAATATGAAAATAAAACAACATGGTCAACTGAATAAATTCCTTCAATTTTAAACTACAGGCATGAAGATTTGTACAGTGTCAGTTCTTTTTGGTAAATGTATAAAATAAATACTGAAAATAATAATGGCTTCTGTTTTTCAAGTGACAAAATTTTATATTCAATTTTAGGGATGGCCTCACCAAAAAGTATTTTTTGTGTTCTGTGTGATGATTTGCAAGATAAGAATGAATGAGAGGGTCAGCATTTTGAGACTTCTTCGGTCCATGAAGAAAAAATCCCAAATTGTCACTGACTATGTAAGTATAAAATGTTTTGTTAACTGTTTTGTCTCTCACATCTTAAATATCAACAGGTAACAATGATGTATAAATCAAAACTCAGCACTAATATATTACTGACTTTTAGAATTTTCTATATTTCTTGTCTTCTATAAAATGTGGGTGATAAAAAGTTTTTTTTAAATTGTCATTCATGTAACTGTCAATGAAAGTTGAATAACATCATGAAAAAGAAAAAGCCAGCTTGTTAGCAATATTTCCACCCCTGTCAAGTTCTTTGCTTTTTCTTGTGCAATATATTCACTGACTTTATTGCAAGTAGTACATTATTATTTAATAATAAGTAGCTAATTATTAGCTTAATTATTATTAATAATTAATCAATTAGCTATCATTAATTAAGCTTAATATTATTTTTGTACATTATTAGCTTAAATGTCAATGTCTGTGAATGGACTCAGATGAACACAAATAAAGAAATAAAACCAAATTATCTTCTCTCTATGAATATTAATCTCTTGACTTAGTTAAAGAAAGAGAATGTCCCTGGTAATTTGTAGAAAATAATTTGATCAAGGCAAATAATGCCAGGATATTAGGAACTAATCAATTCAAGATTCTTTGGATGTTCAATATATATTTTCAAATCACAATTTAACAGTAAAAATTTTTCTTACTTTTCAAAAAGTTTCTTTTGACTTGTGACTCCGTTTTCGAAATCCTAATCGGCGTCAACAGATATCTTTTGACTTGCGAATCTGCTTCCGAAATCCGTTCAGCGTAATTTTATATTATATATATATATATATTTATATATTTTTTTTTTTCAGGTAAGTACGTTGCACAATCCTCATCACCAGTTATTTATATCTTGCCAGATATTTTTTTTTGGTTTTCAAATAATTTTTATAATCGGATGTGAAGGTTTACAGAGACAGAGTCGAGTATGCTAACCTCAATAGGTGTTAACAAACGAAGACCTTTTCACTGTCCGCTGTGGTTATTTAATCAACCAGTCCATCCATTATCGTGAATGGGAAGTTGGGTTATATCATCACAACACTAAACTTGTTAAATCTTAAAATCCATTAATATTTGATGTTTTTTTATTTTCTTGGACAGTTTCTATTTTCTCTACATGTCATTT